GGGAACCGGTCTGTATGTGGGATCCGAACCCTCGGGCGGGAGCACTGCTGCGCTTCCCAAGTGGCGCACTTATCCAGTGCGCCACCGGGCCGGCCCTAAAAGTTTTACTTTATATTCTCTTTGTTTTTTGTCTAGTTTCTAATAGCATATGAATATTTCTTTTACATACTTAAGTATTCCTTACAGAATGTTTTTAGAGATTTGTGTTATTCCATAAGAGTTATATTTAAAGACATTTTCTATTATTTATATCATTCCATTTGTTTTCAAGTTAATCAGTCTCTTGTGATCGTAAATAACAGAAACCCAATTCATACATAATTAATTCCAGGATGCAAAGGATGTCCTTAGGTTTCTGTCAACCTTCTTAGCTCCACTTCTCACTGTGTGAGTTCAATCTATGCTGAAGATTCATGCAATGACATACAATACCAGTTCCAGATTATGTGGGTGGTGTAAATTCCTCTTGCTTATGACAGAATGCAGCTCTTCAATGATTAAGCAACTTGTAACAAAATAAACCACCCTACACATGTTTGCCTTGCAAAGTTCAGATAAACAGACAACAATAATGAAAACTCTCATTTTGAAAACAGCAGAAAAGGAATCAATGAGGGATACTCAGCTATTTGTATTATGTCCAGTACTGAAGTGGAGCTTTGGCAAAGTGCTCTCTTTTTTATTCTGTGTACAAGTACTTAGAGCCAGTGGTCATTTGTCTTCCAGGTGCATGAATGCAGAGGCCAGCCTCGGGCCTCTACTTGTTAGCAACAGGCCTTGCTGCTTTTCCCTTCATCAGAGCTTCTGCTTTGGTCTTTACCTCCATATCAGTGGCAGTGAGCACGAAGGCTTTTCTAAACAGCCCCTCACCCTCTGCCTACTTCCTAAAGTGTAGTTCTTTAAAATGGAGACACTTGCTCCATCTGATAGTGTCCGGCTGGATCACAGACCCCTCTACTCCATCTTGTGCAGGTCGTGAGTNTTCTCACTGTGTGAGTTCAATCTATGCTGAAGATTCATGCAATTATATACAATACCAGTCCCAGATTATGTGGGTGGTGTAAATTCCTCTTGGTTATGACAGAATGCAGCTCTTCAATGATTAAGCAACTTGTAACAAAATAAACCACCCTACACATTCTTGCCTTGCAAAGTTCAGATAAACAGACAACAATAATGAAAACTCCCATTTTGAAAACAGCAGAAAAGGAATCAATGAGGGATACTCAGCTATTTGTATGATGGCCAGTACTGAAGTGGAGCTTTGGCTAAGTGCTCTCTTTTTTATTCTGTGTACAAGTACTTAAAGCCAGCAGTCATTTGTCTTCCAGGTGCATGAATGCAGAGGCCAGCCTCGGACCTCTACTAAGATAGCA